CGGAGGAAGATGAGTCGGATGACACCAAGTACTGCACATGCCAGCGCGTTAGCTTCGGCGATATGGTGGCCTGCGATAACGACAATTGTCGGTATCAGTGGTTCCACTGGGAGTGTGTGGGCATCAAGGAAGAGCCATTGGGGGATTGGCTCTGTCCAGAATGCCGGAACCAAGCGCCTTCGAAGATCAAGAGAGCTCGTTAGGGACGGTTCGGAGGAGATCGAGGGTCGGCGGTTGACACGTGACTGAGATGCGCACGTGTTGTGGCTTGGCAAGGGTGCACTTGCTCTATGGCGTGCGGGAGAGGCGTCGACTGGGAACAGCCACCAGCGAGACGCGTGGCATCATATGTTCTATTTCTACATGGTAGTCTGTATATGATAGACTGTTCTATACCCCATCAATTTGCGTATTCGCTGTACGAAATTAGTTCAGTCTCCACAGTGTTGGCCCATGATCGCCGGGCCAGACCCGACGGCCGGGATGGCCATGGCAATCTCTTCGTAAAACGCGGACCTCTATCACGACGTTCATGGTACCGCTGCCTGCCATAAGACTGGCAGGACAGGACTCCCAGGGCAGGCTGAATGCGACATTCACTGTTACCAGGTCCCGCTATAAACACCACGGGGAGCGTCGACGGCTTCAGTGTTGAGCGCCCTTGCCATGCCGCCCGCCTGGCTGCTAGCTAGCGCCTAAATGCCCCAGCCAAGGCCGCGCGAAAGGGGCAGCATCACCGACATTGGACAACAGCAGCGGGCAGCCTCATAAGTGTCAATGGCCCCGGCTGCTGGGTTCCTGCATACTCGTAGTAATATTCTGGTTCTGATTGTCGCTCTCTTCGCACCGCACCTCGGCCTCTTTGACTAGACCGCTGGCGTGCATTCCACTCCCTTGGCTGGCTGACGTGCTGCACTGCTTTGTTTGCATTCGCTCCTTCACCGCATCGCACTTCGGAACATTGCCGAACGCCCGTCGACTCCTACCACGCCTAGAGTTTCACCAGCAGCCCTCGCCGCCCGCCACGCTCTCTGCTTTTGCAAACCTTCGCTCCCATCTGAAGCCCACTAACACGCCCCGATACGGATACGATCCCTGTGACAGCGGCAACCCGCGGGGTGAAACGCGACGCAACCACGATGAATGCCATGAACACCCGCAATGGCGCCCTATCGCCCCTCTCCACCGACAGCCAAGAGTGGTCGCCCATCAACGGCTACCGGAACATTGGCGGCGACAATCCGTACTCGCCGACCATCCCTCCCAACACATACGGGCCCAGCAACCCCGATGGCGGCATGCTCAATGGTATGCGCCCTGGCACCGGCAATGGCAACCCCTCGCCGCCCAGCTCAGTAGGCCGATCGAGCGACGGTACAGGCCTGTACGCCTCCAGCATCAATGAAAACACGCGGCCCATGATAGACCCTAGGAAAATGCAAGCGCTAGAGGAGACCATGTCGGAACATTTTAGAGTGCTCAAGGCCTACTTGGGGCCGTATCTCAATGACGAGAAGGGCAACCCGCGCCCGAGCCGTGCCAAGGACAAGCTGACCCGCCTGTCTGCTGTGCAGTTCCAGGAGCTCAGCACCGACGTATATGATGAGTCGATACGCAGAGAGCAGGACCGCAAGCGGGGAGGCCCAGGTGCGCCTGGCAACGACACCCCCAAATATCTCCTACCCAAGAACAACTTCCACCCAAAACGTAACCAGGCGAGACAAAAGCTCTCCACGCTGCCTCTCGAGCGCTTCCGACAACTCGCGACCGATGTCTTCTACGAACTCGAGCGCAGATTCCCGCGCTTCACCGGCGGCGACATCCCCCCACGATCCTCGAGCCCCAACGGCAGCATCGCGAGCCGCATAAGTAACAGAGGGCCTCCGAGTAGAGGCGGCACACCGAACAGCATGGGCGGACGACCTCCGCCAGGGCCAGGCTATCGGGGACCTCCAATGGGCGGACCCATGGGCGGACCCCAAGGAGGGCCCCCAGGTCCACCAGGCGGGCTGCGGCCCGGTTCAAATGGGTCGGGTGGCTCGTTCGGGCGGCCACTGCCGAAGACGTTCCAGTCAAACACGATTGTGCCGAACAAAGGAACCCTGGTCGAAGATGACGATGACAGCGGAGCAGATGACGACGATGCGTTCAATCTGGAAGGTGCTGCTGCCAGGCGGCAGACGAACAAGAGCGCGAAAAGTATGAGCATGGCACAGGAAAAGATGACCGCAGATCTGCAAAACCAAGTGGCTGAGTTGCAGGAGAAGATTGGCTCGCTGGAAACTACCATACGTAGCAAGGACGACGAACTGCAGCGACTCCAAGACACCGACAAGACACGCGACGGTGCCTCGGCTTCCGAACGTGCGGAGTGGGATCAACTTCGGAATTCGCTTGAACAAAAGGTTCAACAGGCTGAGAATCTCAACTCTTCACTTCGTTCCGAGATAGATAGATTGCGCAACGAAAACGAAGATGTCGAGAGCAGCCTCCGTGAACAGATCGCAGATCTCCAGTCTCGAGCACCTCAGCAAGCGCACAACGATGGAGACGGTGAATGGCGACAACGATGCGAGGAGCTCGAACGGGAGTTGAGCGAACAACAGCAGGTGGCTGAAGAAGTACGAAGAGACGCAGCCATGTTCCTGCAAGAAATGAGGGAACTTTCTGCCCGCAGCGATGCCGCGGCCGAGAAGGAAGAGCAAATGGCGAGTCAAGTGTCATCACTCGAGGCGGATCTTAAAGACTGGAAGTCAAGATATGCCAAAGCAAAGACACAACTGCGAAACCTCAAGGCATCTTCGATGGGCTTACAACAGCTCATGTCCCTGAACCAAACCAACATCACCCGCGATGCTGCCTTTACCACACCAGACGGATTGGTCAAGGATGTTCACATCACCAAGTTCCAGCTGAGCATTGATGAGCTGCTGCAGACTGCGAGAAGAGCAAACTCAGAGCAGACTCTCGAGAGTATGCGCCATGTCGTCAAATGTGTACGAGCCATTACGGGTGACATTGACAGCACTTCTCTGTCACAGGTCCAGTCTCCCACCAGCAGTGTGAGCGGCGACCTCTTTGCAAGCCCTGAGAAGCAGCAAGCAAAGCTCAAGTCTCGCGTCAGCGCCACGGCTAACAACCTCATTACTGCTACCAAGAACCACACGGCATCCGGCGGCCTGTCACCAGTCAGTCTCTTGGACGCTGCAGCTAGTCATTTGTCAACAGCTGTTGTCGAGCTGGTCAAACACGTCAAAGTGCGACCTACACCAGAAGACGAGCTTGAGGCAGACGATGAGGATGCTGATAGGCCGATGCCACTAAAGCCGGCTGGGAACAACAACTACAGTGCGTACTCGCCGAGCAACACCAACGACAATACCAACAGCAGCGGTGCGACCTCGGCATATGGTCACCAGCGCAGTCGTAGCAGGAAAGGCGGCAGCAGTGACACTACCAGGTACAGCACCTACAGCTCTCCCTACAGCGGATACGACGGGCAAAGCGGAGCCATGAACGGTACTAATGGCGCAGGCGATAGCGGTATGCTCGATTTCAAGGTACATTCCAACCAATACCAGTAGTCAACATCTACTAACGTTGGCAGAATTACCTTGAAGATCAGACAGCACTCCTCGTCCAGAGCATACAGCCGCTTGTCAACCTCATCCGCTCGAACCCTGATTCTACGCCAGGTGACGAGCAACAAATTTACGAGTACATCCAGGATATCTCGCAAGCAGTCGACGACACTGGTAATAAGACCTATGATGCTGTAAATCAGCTTTCCAACCCTGCGTTGAAAAAGCACGCGCTTCCCGTAGTAGAGGTGCTCGATGAATGCAGACAGAGTATGCTTGCTGTCGACATCAACGGTGGAGGTCGCGACAGGATTCCGCCACTTGCATTCAAGACCGCTAGAGCTCTCAAGGTAAGCGCTACAACAGCAACCGTAATGTTCAACATACTAATGGCAATACAGGAGCTCGTACTTCGCGTGGACCGCATCGAGTCTGGCGAACTTACTGTCGACCAGACGCTCAAAACAGAGCTATAGTGTGAAACATTGACGCACACTCATTCAACGTATAATGCCATCACACTATATACCTTCAACGCAACTTATTTATTGGACTCGATCTTGCCGTTCCTGGTCTTTTTGGATCTGGCACGGCGTTTACGGTGCTTTTCTTTCACAATGCCTTACGACATTCGCCGATTTGTGCTTTCTTGGCTAAAGTCGTTGGCAATGCTGGATACCCAGTCTTCGACTCAAGGGCAGGGCACCAGAGCATGTAAAGATTTGGACTCTTTACAGGAAATATTATTAGTGTTTATTGCGGCGGTGACGGATACATGGGCTTCTGTCGGGCTCTAATGTGGGCATGACTTCCGGGCATGCGCTTCAGCCACCTTGGATAATCGGACCATCTTGGCTGAGTTATGAGGTACTATGATCATGGACGGGCTGTTGTATAGTAATGTAGCCGGGCTAGGAAGAACTTTAGGTAACAGTATAATCACATCACAGTCAAGAATGCTGAACACCCTTCCATACTGATAGTGCGTGCAAAAACGTGGCAATCAGACCTGTGGCTTGCACCTTCCCCCACTTCACTGCCACATTGGACCCTGTTTACCCCTCGGCAATAATTGCCAACTTTTCCGCATCACACCTCCACAGCCTTTCGGTCCGTCCCCATACGCACCTGCTTAAGGTGAAGCAGTCCGGCTGTGTAGTGCTGGACCGGGAAAGTGAGTGTACGCGATGACGTCATCATACAGCTGTTACGCGCGTGCGCCTTGGAGCAGAGATCACATGGGCACAGCCACGTCTAATACCTAGTGCAGTCAACGATCTAGATTTGCTACAGTAGCTGGCACCTTTGCTCCATCCGAGAACGCATCAACTTCTCTCACGGACTCTGTGGCCCTTTCGAACGATACCCACTAGTCGCTGAAGTCTGGGGCCAGGAGCAAAAGGGAAGAGCCACGACAGCATGGCGCAACAACTGCAGCCAGCATGGCCTGCACAAAGACCTCAATACCATGATACGATCCTCACCATCACGAGCAGCAGCTGTGCGGATCCGTATGTACTCTGGGACAAAGGCACGTACTACATGACCTTTACCTGCGGCGGCCACATCGAGATCTGGTCCGCGGACTCACTCTTCGACTTTGAGAAGAAGTGCAAGAAGAACGTAATCTGGCGTCCTCCGCCAGACCAGCCCTACTCCGCCGACCTGTGGGCACCTGAACTGCATTCCATCCATGGTCGCTGGTATGTCTACTTCGCGGCCGACGACCCTAAGCATGGCAACAAGTCGCATCGCATGTTTGTGCTAGCAGGACCACCCTCAGAAGAAGACCCTCTGGAGCCAAGTAAATGGAATTTCTTCGGCCGACTAGGCGGTCTGCCCGAAGAGCAATGGGCAATCGACGGTACAGTCGTCACACTAGGCGGCTCCATGCTCTTCGTCTACTCAGGCTGGCCCCTCGGTACGCACGCTGACGAGTCGCGTCAAGAAATCTTCATCATCGAAATGGTCTCGCCGACAGAATGTACAGGCCACCCCATTCGCATCAGCACGCCAGACCTACAATTCGAGTTCTCAGGCACCAGCGGCATAAACGAGGGCCCGCAGTTCCTCTGCTCGCCGGACGGCCGTTGGATGGGTCTTGTGTACAGTTGCGCGGGAAGCTGGACACACGAATACAAAATGAACATTCTGTACTACACCGGTGGCCACCCGCTTGATCCGCACTCCTGGGCTAAATCTAACAAACCCCTTCTCAAAGCCGCTCGCGATGACTCTCCGCCTTATGGTCCAGGACACGGCAACTTCGTTCTCGTCAACGGGCCCGGCGGCCCAGAGGTCTGGGGCTGCTTCCACGCCACGGATGCGAAGACTGGATGGGAAGGTCGTAAAGCCCGCATTATGCGCGTGGGATGGGGTCAAGGAGGTCCGTTTATGGGCTCGGGTGAGTGTGGCAGATGTTGCGGCGAGGTTGAGCATTTCATCCAAGGTTGTCCTGGTGGTACTTGTGGTGGTCAGGGCCATTGTGGTGGGGAGGGCGGTGCAGGTGGGGGATTCATGCAGCCGGGACATCAGGGCGGCAACTCGACGGATGATATCAAGAGGGAGGTTAAGAATTTGATCAAGGGTGGGAAGGGGCTTGTCAGTAAGTTTCTCAAGTAGGGCTAGGGGACGGGGATGAGTTGAGATGGCATGGAGTGATGGTGTTGAGGCGTATGGGGATCTGCGGTCCTCCTCGTGCTCACGGACTTGGGATGTAGTAGTATTATCCGGATTGAAAAGTGGTTTTCCGTATCTAGAGTGATAAAACGATGCTTGTGTGAAACCTGAAGAAGCTGGTGTTCCCGTGCCAGAAAATGACATACATACCATCAGTGCCTAGATGATCACTTTTCACTTGCGCTCAATCATAGTTTGATTATCTATATGCAGCCATGCATCCAATTGATGTCAATTGCGGGACGACTTCGACTCCGCTTCCGCAGCTTGTGGATATGCGGAGTATCTCTTGGTAGTGGAGTACCACCGAAGCCGCCGCACAAGGAACTACGGAATGCCGCTAATAAGGAGCTGGCGTCGGCCGAGGAGTGGTCCGACTACAGCGGCAGCAGGATGCGGCAACTCTAAAACTACGCGTAGATGTAGCGCAACGCAGTAACTTGGGCGCTTCCATACCACGTCTAATCTCGTCGTCCTTGTTAGTCCGCGCTCTGAGTTCGGAATACGGACGTTCCGCAGCCGATGGCTATACGGTCTATACGGCGGACCGAGTGGGCTTTTCCCCGTCAGGTTGGGAGACGATGCCATTGTGAAATGTAGAAAGTACAAGTACTGCTCGTCTGGTTGCTCGAATCCATCATTCACAGTTCGAGCATCTGGTCTACAAGTAAACTCATACTACGTCTTCACAACCAACATCACCTCGATACGACCACATCACGATATACCAATCCAAGCCTACTCCTTACCCCCTCCCATCACCATGGCCAAAGTCCAAGGAACATGCGACCCTCGCTTCGCCAAAGTCAAGTCCGTTTTCCAATCCTACCTCGACTCGGGCGAAGAGCTCGGCGCCTCCATCTGCGTCAATCTCGACGGGAAAGAAGTCGTCGATCTCTGGGGCGGCTACGCAGATGAAGCCCGAACACGACCATGGGAGAAGGACACTATAACATGTATTTGGTCGTCTAGCAAGACCATCTGCGCGCTGGCGGCTCTCTTGTGCATCGACCGGGGTCTTCTAGATCCGAACGAGAAGGTGTGCAAATACTGGCCTGAATTCGCCGCGAATGGGAAGGAAGGCGTGGAAGTACGCCACTTTCTTTCGCATGCGAGTGGAGTGAGTGGGTGGGAGGGGCCCGTTACAATCGAGGATGTGTGCGATGTGGAAAAGAGTACGAAGTTGTTGGAGCAACAGGCGCCGTGGTGGGAACCCGGTACCGCAAACGGCTACCACGGACTCACAATGGGCCATCTCCTCGGCGAGTTGATCCGTCGTGTAACCGGGAAGCCAATGCAAGAGTTCATCGCCGAGGAACTGTCTCGTCCACTCGCGGCGGACTTTCAACTTGGTGTCCCGGAGAAGGAGTGGCACAGGGTCGCCGATATTATTCCCCCGCCACAACACCAAGAGAATATGGAGGGCATGGCCATTGATACAAAGAGTATCATGTTCAAGTCTATGGGCATCAACCCCGGCATGGACGCTGACTGGGCCAACCAACCAGTCTGGAGGGGTTCGGTCGTTGGTGCGGCGAACGGATACAGTAATGCGCGCGCTCTCGTTCGTCTCATGTCCGTCATCTCCTTGGAAAACCCTTCTTTCCTCTCTGGCAAGACTCTTGATCAGATCTTCTCGACGCAGCAACATTCCGAGAAGGACCTCGTTATTCCGATGAATGTCCGTCTTGGACTAGGATTTGGGCTGCCAGCTGAAGGAAGCATAATGGCTGATCTGCCACTGGGACGGGCGGTGACTTGGGGTGGTTGGGGCGGAAGCCGGGTTATCGCTGACGCGGATAGGAAGATGACGTTTGGATATGTGATGAACAAGATGGATGCAGCCGGGTTGGGGCAGACGAATGAGAAAGGCAAGGGTGGTATGGGCAATCCGAGGACGTCGGAGTTTATAGCAACCGTTTACGAGGCTTTGGGTATCGTGGCTTGAGAATGCGTCTCTCGATCGAGTTATGGGATAACGGTGCTTTGGTTTTCGGATGTTTGCCGCTGTTGCTGTTGGTTGACCACTTGTTTTGGCCATTCCATCCACTCTGCCCAGTAGGATCCTAGGAAGTCATCTACTACACCTACTATGCTCGTGCCGCAACCTGCCGTCCACCAACCTGTGTGAAGCTGTTCTAACAGTGCGCCAAAGTAAGCAAAGATGAGTAAAGCTAATGGCTGCCGTTGTTGCTGCAACTTGAAGTATTCTTTCGGTACTAAAGACAACCAAACGAACGGCTGTGCCAATAGCGACAAAAGCCGTGAGTCAGTAAGAGTGTCAAGTAGACCTGGAGAGCAAGGTTCAGCAACTTACAGCAGACCAACTACCGTTATATCCCCATTCCTCCTGTTGATCTTCCCAGGTTTTCCGGAAATGAAGGACCCAGGCACTCATCTTCCTCAACAAATACAGCGTCTCGTCGTATATTGCCTTATTTCCATCGTCAGCCCACGTTTGCTTGATGCGCACCACGTGCTGATCATCCGGTCCCGGCTGCATATCGGGATCTACATCATCCCAGTCCTTTAGATAGAGCGTTGATCGTAAAGGGCCCTCTTTGAGATGTTCGTAGATAGGGCCTATCACAGCCTGAATACCGCGAACAAGAGGTATCCATTCTGCACCCAAAATACGCGATGTCCGTATTGATAGGCTATCCTTGGTACTGTCATTATCTTGCTGTTTATCCGCGTTGGCGTCTGAAAGCTTGGAAAAGGTACAGAAAGCGTAGAAGAACATTAGAGTTGAAGTAGCAAAGAGTGCTTCAGCGTTGTGCGGGCCAATCGTGTCGATATCTGCTCTAAATCCGCTGAGAGCGACGGTGTGATGATGCGCTGCGATATGGAGATTTGCGCGTCTGTCGTCAGGATTGAGATACGCAACATGTAAAGCGGAGAGGCTGATGAGACAGTGCATCATATATGCATGTTTGTATGCTATTTCTGGGAAGACCACCTGCCACAGCTGGGTGACTGCCGGCACGCCGGGTAGTATGGAAAGACTGGTGGCCATTGTCCAGTGATGCAATAGGGACATATCTTTTAGAGAGAATGAGGGGATGATCTGGGTTTCCGAACATGGTGTGCTCGCTGCGAAAGGGTCGTTCTGAGGGGACGCTAGCTGGAATGCGTTCGGAGTTGCCGGTGTTTGAGCACGAGAAGACGCGTGTTCAATCGAACTTTTGGCTCGCACGGGAATGTATTCTGGGTATACACAGGCAACCTCATGCCTCACGCAATGCGAACATCGCGGTTTTGCTTCGTCGCACTATCGCGCGTCAGAACGTAGGTTGTAGTACGACGTGCTTCGTACCTTGATCCGGCGGCGTTTGCACGTGGCACAGCCCGTCCGCGATTTCGAGTGCGCTTTTCTTTTCAGGGCCATTGGAATTGGCCAATTGCATCAAGGGATTGATATTATAGGCGAGGAAAAAGTAGTAGAGAGGCTTTGCGGACGGCAGCAACGCGAACGAGAAACGAAGAACGAAATACGATGAAGCTAGAAACAGGTTAGTGCTAACCTGATCTGTGAACCTCGGCCCACTCGGCGAGCGAAACTTTCCATCCCGGCGACTTCCCCTAAACACCACAACAGCAGATTGGAGATGCACGCACTGATGTCTATCAAAAATTCAATGCGAGCTCTAGATACACAAGGTCGTCATAGTCGCAGAATACCTAAACGCCGTAATCATGCCACGCCAAACCCAACTGCGATACCAACGCCCGTAACATCATCTAAACTATAACGAGACAGCAGAATTCCTTTCACGCCCTCTCATACAGTCCGATAATCTCACTATCCAACTTCTTCACCGCCCGGTGATTCGTTCCAAACACGTCATCCGCGCGTACAAAATGGAACAAGACCTGCACCAAGAACATAGGCAGCGTATCGAAAACGTACATGTACACCTCATGCGAAGCCAGATACCCGCTATGACCCTGTCCAAACTCGATGACGCGGAAGATGCAGCGAGTAATGATGACAACCGCCGCAAGGGCAAGAAGTTTGTACTGTCGTCATATTAGTACATCGTTCGTCGACGAAGAAGACGAGAAGAAGGAAAAGCAACTTACCAAAGCCGGCCACGCATACTTCCCATACTTCGGCACCGTATACCTCTCAGGCGCACTCCTCATCCTGAAATAGAATATGGCACTAACCACGACAAAGAAGCCGAAAAACGCCAACTGCACAAACAACCCCAGCAGCATGATCTTCTGTCCCATATCCGCCATGTCCGCCTGCGCCATCATGCCGCCACCACCAGATTGCATGAGAAACGCAACGACATCGCCGCAGACGAAGATCTTGGTTACCAACGTAGGTCGGATGACGGAAGCGTGTTCGGCGTTTACGAAAATGACGAGGCGGCCGTAGATCATGTAGATTGTTGCGGCGTAGAGCGAGGGAGGGAGGATGATGAAGAGGGATTGCATGATGTATGGCATCAGTTCGGAGGGGGATTGCGCGGAGAGGTAGCGGGCTGCGTAGCCGATTGTCATCACTGGTTGAAGATTGTTAGCGGGGTGGGCTGTTAAAGGACGAGAGAAGGAGAGACTTACTTATTGATCCGATTACAAAGGCTGTATAGAACCATGCGCGGCCTCGGATCATTTGGAAAAGGTGGTAGATTGTGCTTAGGCCGAAGAGGACGGCAAAGAGGATGGCGCCGATCTTGCTGGGCTCGTAGGGGAAGAGAGCGTACGCCTCTGTGTCTGTTGACGTTTCGTTTGCCATTGTGATGCTTCGGGAATAAAGTATGGCTGGAGTTGCCTAAGGAGGTTGACGCAGGGAGAGAAGGAGCACGCCGTTCCGCAGCACACGAGCAGTTGTCGTAAACGAATGTAGAAGAACTGGAAGTATGTATTGAAAAGCGACAGGACGAAGACGAATGGAATGAATGTGTGGCTTGTAAAATCCATCATCACAGACATCATTCCTCCTTATACAACTGAGCCCATCGCAAGCTGCACCCAAAAGCGCAAGAGACCCATGTAGTGATCCACTCCGAGACGAATACGCGGATAGCCCTACGAGACGGAGGCTGTGCACTCAGGAACGAGATGCGGGTACCCACTTCGCGTACCCTGAAACCCCTGCATCGCCCGCCCGTTACACTAGATCCGGCGCTACGACGATACGATATACGATGCACGTCTAGAAAATTGTATGCTTGGGTTGAGATGTCTATTCGATACTCCTAAGCCCGCTATGTGACGTTGTCATACCCCCGCCACGTGCCGGAAGTACCGGTCAAAGATTGGCGCGACGATTCTATCATGCTCCTCCACTACCCTGTTATCGCCCTTTACTATCCCCTCTTTCGTCTCGATAACGTCGGAAAGCCTTCAACAATTCCCGCATCTAAATTGATGTTGACTGCTGAGGTCGCCAGTGTGCATTGTCTATTTCCGCTTGCGTGAGCCCGGCAAAGGCAGCCGCATATTTGCTTGCAAGCCACTGCTCCACATGCGACATGGTCGAGTCGACCACGATTGAAGGCTGGCTTGGGGTATCATCTTCCGGAATTGCTTCTGCGTGGTCCTCATGGCCGTTGTAGTCCTTGGATTTCTCTTCATCAACTGGCGGTTGCGATTGCGCAGAAGCGTGAGGACTCACAGGTGGCGGCGGACCGTCCTCATGAACGTTGCAGTCCTTGGACTCCTCTTCATACACCGGCAGTTGCGGTTGCGAAGGAGTGAGAGAACTCACAGATGGCGGCGAGCTGGCCCTACGCCTATGGCGAGTTTCGGGAGCCTCCTCGTCCATCGGTCTCCTTGTTTGCGCAAAGGAGTGAGGGTCGACAGTTTGTGCGATCTCTGTGGTGAAGCCTTCGTTCTTTGCGCTGGGCGCAGCAGTTGATTTTGCACCAGCAGCATCGTCGCATGGCGCGAGGTCCTTGGATTTCTCCTTCTCTGCCGGGAGTTCCGCATCCGTAATGTCTCGAGGGTCTGCAGGCAGTACCGTCTCCTTGATCGGACCGCTGTTCTCTGTGCCGGATGTGGAAATCGATCCCGCACCCGCAGCATCTTGAGATGGCGTAAAGTCCCCCGATACCCCCTTCTCTGCCGGACTTCCTTGTTGCGCAGTTATTTGAGAATCCACAGGCTGTACTGTCTCCTTGATGGAACCGCTCTTCTCTGTGCCTGATGTTGAGGTCGTTCCTGCGCCCGCAACGACCTTCGACGGCTTCAGATCCTTGGGACTCTCTTGAACAACTGGCGGTTGTGATTGCATAGCCGTGTGATGGCTCACAGGCCGTACGGTCTCCTTGATTGACTCGATGTTCTCTGTGCCTGATGTGGGAGTCGATGCCGCGCCGGCGACAACCTTAGACGGCTTTAAGTCTTTGAATTCCTCTTGCCTGACGGGTGGTTCTGATTGCGCAAGAATGTGAGGGCTCGCAGATTGTGCACTTTCCTGAATGGGTTCACGGTTCTCCGTGACAGTTGCGGTACGAGGTTGCGTGTCGAGAGCCTTCGTAGACGGAGCGGCTGTTTGAGGAGAGTTGCGCCCCATGTCATTCTCCGTAGACTTGAAAAGCGCTGACCAGGATGTAGGCTGCCCGCGAGCGGTGCTCTTGTGTTCTTTGATTGATTCGGTGCTACCCTCACCTGGTATTAGAGCAGACAATCTTGATATTTTAGATCTGAGATAGTCCGCCCGAACTCCTCTCGATTTCACTTCAGCTCTTGCCCTGTCCAACTGTGGATCGGTAACAGCAGTTGCATAGCCTCTCTCTCTGTACGCATCTTGGATACTCTTGCGATCGTCGGTGCGCTGTTTCTGCTTCTGTTTTGGTCGCAGTTTCGCGCGCCCTTGCACCTTTGACCAGCTACCCGGGTCATTCAGAAGACTCTCCTCCATGGCCTTCTTCATATCATCTTCACTATCGGTATGAAATGCTAGCTTTCCGGCTGACCTCTTAGCGGGCTTCGACGGCTTGGCCATCAAAACTTCGTACCTGTTGCTTGGATGGTCTTGAACCGTCTCTTGATTGGTAGGCGCTTCATCGCTAGGAGCCGAATCAGCCGCAGACAGGTGGCCACCAAGGTCACCACCGTCGTTGATAACACTGCTGCCAATAGCACCGTCGCTATTCATGTCGGCGTTTCCAGTAACACTGTCACCACCGTCATCGGCCTTCGCGACAACGGATGGCGAAGACTCCTCCACTGTGATTGAGGCTGCCTGCTTAGTAGCGTCGGATTTTTCTGCCTTGCCATGTTTCTTCTCCCATCTCGACTGCTTCTTCCTCTGCTTCTTCAAGTGCTTTGTTGACTGCTTCTGCTCGCTCTCCTCCTCCGACTCTGCCAGCGTTGAAAGGGGTGTAGGTGCACAAGGTGTAGGCGTGGTCGATAGCTCTCGAGATAAGCGCTGCTTTTTGGTATGGGGCTCTTCCTGGGGTATAGCTTGCTCTGGAGATGTGTGTTGTTCTTGAGTTACAGGCTCCTCTTGCGATAGCGTGTCGTCCCCCTGTGGAGATTGTTCAAGAGACACAGGAAGATCCTGAGATGTGCACTTCTCTTGAGCAACTGGCAGCTCCCCCGATTTGGCACCTTTACGTTTCCTCGACTTGTTCTTCTTTTTCGGTTTCCTTTGCTCCGCTGTTACAACTTCATCGAGGACTAATGCGTCGAAGTCCTTCCCCTTCAGTAGAACACCCTGTCGAGCTTCTGTGAAGAAATATACCCAGGTAACAATGGTTTCGATTGAGCGTGGTCGAGTAGCGTACTCTGGAAATTTGACTACATCATGGCTGTGGAAATTCTGCACGAGGCTGTGCCATATGGATTCGCCACCAGGATGCCTCTCTTCGAGGTAATCGAACAATTTCTTTCGAGCTTTCGCGTCATCTAGGCGTAAATCGTAGATGACGTCGATGTTCTCAAGACGAAAGGAATCGATCCAGAGGAATGCACTTTCTTTTGTAACCAGAGGTCTAGTATAGATCTCAAGCACCCTCATCGCGTTCCAAAGGTATTGGTCAACGTGGTCGAAATCTGGGGCTTTAATCATTCTCTGAAACGCTGCTATTCCGTCTCGTCTGACCCTTTGGCGAATCTTTGCAGGTGCCTGAACGTATCTGTCGAACGAGGGTTTGTGCACCTTCAGAACCCCACTTACAGCGCACCACAATACTTCGAATGGATGGAGATCGGGCCGTTTGCGAGTCAGAAAGAGGATGCAACAACGCATGTCATAATCGAGCATTGCACTCAGGTGTTGCCTAGAGTCTTGATACTCGTGGCTCATCTTCGTGGCCACGCCGAGCTCAAGATCTGCCAGCAGGCCGCGTGCCGCAAATAATGGTATGACACATTTGGTCATATGATCGGGGGGCAGCATGTAGTTGTAAAGGATGGTGTTAGGATCAGGTTTAGCCTAAGGATGAATGTACAAAGTCAGTAAATGTTTCACATACGATGCGTACATGAGGTATCACTACCTTCCATTGAACTTGGTTGTTGTTGATCTCGAAAGAAGCGTCCCAATAGCCCGTACATTGAGGATTGAAGAGTGACATGGGCATTTGACATTTCCGGATCTTTCGGTCCAGCCTTGGAAGACTAGGCAGAAGGTGGTACTTGACCATTGGGTACTATACGTTGTCCAAGTCCCTCGCATCGGCCTCTTCAATAGCCTCTGCTCTCAACTCGAAAAAGTTTAGATCTAGAAAGTCCCCAGAGCCCGGAGCGGCCTGAACGACTGATGATTGTAGCTGCTGAACGGACGATCCGGGAAATGGTGCAGTGGTATCCGAATCATCCCTCGGGTCCGGCGATGGTTGGGGCGGATCAGGCTCGATAGCTGGTGCTTGAGGCTGCTGAGAGTCCTTGTTGGGATGCGGCTCGATGGCTCCGGCAGGTGTGCGCTGCGCCAACCTAAAGAGCGCATTGCGGTATTTCTCCTGAATCTTCAGATGGGTGAAGAAGTTGACAGGCAGCGGCCAGTAATTGTCGGCGATGTGATGGCATATAGCTCCCTCCAACGCACCCCGGCGGTCCAGTGGGACTGTTTCGAGGCAATCCACGATAAGCTGGCCTATCGGTAACAGCTTCTGCTTAAGAACCTGAGCGTGCGTCTCGTTGTTGCGGGTCTGATTGTAGTCCTGTAGACTCTCGGGTGTCAACGCCTTGAGTTCCTTCAGGTCGTCGAGAACGGGTGACAGTATTTCGATTATTAGGCCCTTGTCGTCATATTGAAGTTGCGACTCCATCTGCGTTGTGGAGTGTTCGGTATGGCAGGACTCTTTTGTAGGCGATAGAAACCGATTGCGGTATAATTTGCTAAGCCTGAACGACTGGAGGACGGACAGCCTAGGGCCTGAGCTGTGTATGACTGCCGGTAACGATGGGCTATGAATAATCGGTAGTTCGGCGACAAAGGGAGTCCCCGGACGTGGTGTTACTGAAGACGTGGCGGCGGAAGCATCATTGCCATCCATGGTTGGCGGAAAGTCGCCTCCACCCTCTTCGCTGCGGTAAGAGCGTTCCGAACCGAGTAGCGGCGTAGTGTCGCCTATGGCTGCTTCCTCATCAGGAATTACCACGCGCCTACCAAAGCCCCACCTTATTCCGTGCATATCAGCGTCAGACATTAGTTCACAGCTTCGAGTGATTAGATTGAGGAGAGTGGAAAGGAAGGTCGATAGTGCGCAGGTCACGTATTTAAGCGACATTGGCTTGCTAGTTATGCGATATCGCCGGGCCACGTGGTGGGTTAAGAAGGCGCAAGTCGGAAGGAGCGGTCTGGGGCAGGGAGTCGCGGCTGTGATTGTGACAGCGTTTGTTTGCTCGACGGCCGGACTAGCAAATAGAACTGGTGGAGTCAGAACAAGCAAGCAGCGCGAGGAACGAGTTTGGGAATTCATGAAAAGTACGACAAAGAGAGAGGTAAAAGTGAGACACGAAGGACTTATATGTACAGGTCGATTCCAGGATCATCTAAGAACAATGGAATGTATGTATACAAATAGTACAATGAGCGTGCTCAACTTAGCGGGCATGTCTCATAAAATCGTTGACTTACGCGCTCATGTCTTCGTACTGTGACGTGTCGCTGGCCCTATTATAGCTTGCCTGGAAACAAGACTACCCTCCATGGTTTGAGTGGTGGACCATCGACCTGGAGTCGTTCACAGCCGGAAGGTCTAAGTCAGCTCCTAGGTCTTCCAAGGCGTCAAGGAGCCACCACAGCGTGACCGTTTGGAGAAACCAACGGGACAGTGGTATGCCCTCTGCTAGTCCGAGCATCATCGTCCTTCTCTCCAACCGATGGGTATGAGCGCTGCCGCAACCTGTCCCACACCCCTCTCTGTCGCAAGTAGGTTGAATTGCGCCGCCGCATTCCTTGTGTCTTGGACTTCTAATCGTATTCCCTGGTCGTTGAGGTACTTGCGAACCGCGGGCGCAAGAGGGACGGTACTGGGGCCGGTGCCAATGATGAGTAGATCTGTCGCTCGCTGTCAGACCACGTACGTCACGCAATCGTTACAGGCGATTACAAACGTACCAGGCTTCGGATATAATAACTCCAACACTCCCCAAGCCTGCTCCTGTACTTCCCATTGTCCCTTCGCGTTCAGCAATTTGCCTGTCATTGCATCATCGCCCGTGCCTCCTTCAGCGACGGTACCTTCTTTCCTGCCTTCGCGAAGCCATGGCTTCCATCGATATGCCTCTCCGCCTATCAAGAGAATGCCGCATCCGCTAATGCGCATCTGGTTGTTGAGCGCGAAGCCATCGCCTGTGCAGGCGTCGATGGATGTGGCGGGAGCGACGGTGTTTCGGAGGACATCGAGAGCACTGAAATCGGTCTGCGTGTCTTCGTCGCTTTTTGGGCCGCGATCGCGCGTTCTTGGAGGTTTGGATTGGAGGAGGGCGGGGCGCGTCGTGTGTAGGCAGCGTGCCTGTCGTGCAGACGCGATCACCGAGGGTCTGCATTTGGGCAGATTACGACATGAGGTTTGGATCGTACATCTTGAGAATGCACGGGTACACTGTAATAGACTTCGGTCCATGGTTGTGATATGCAATTGATTGTTGTGGGGGGTGTCTATGTACAGGCCAAAACTTATGCTAGAGCTGATGATCGATGCTGTCATCGAATCCAAAGAGAGCTCGGACCAGCCGGCAAGCGAGACATCCTCATCAATTGTGACTCATCTTGCACTCCCTTTGCCATCGCAACTTCCAGGCCAGATGCTCAAGTCATGGGCCGCTTCAGTGAACAATGAAACCAGCGTTGCAACGGAATCAACTCTCATGCGATGCGCTCATAAGCTTTTGTTCCATGGGTGCTTTCCACCCCAGACCACCCTATGCGACCGACCTTGATCGCGAAGTAGGCAGTGATGCTCAGGGGCTCTCATGCTTCCATCAGCGAGCATGTCGGATGTCGTAGTCTTCTTCTTCGTCGTCAGAGTCGAATGCCGACGGAAGATCTTCACAGTTCAGTCCTTCGAGCGCGAACTTTTCGGCCATCGTCTGTTTCTTCTCTTCCTTGATGGACACCATCTCGAATGACCTTGTAAGCTCGGAGTTGGTGTTCACTCGCTTCAGTGTCTGCCTGGTAAAACGGACGGGCGAAGTCGTTGGCTAAGAAGATACGAAGTCAGCGTTTGTCTCACACTCAGTTTGTACAGTGATGTATATCCTTACCTTGGGTCTGGCACCCTGATCGCCTTGCTCGCTCACAGTCACGATGCTTGTTGATGAGTTCCGCTTGCGCTTGCGAAGGTCTGGAATGGGTTGCGCGTTGTATCTGGGGTCTGGCTTTGGCTGGTTCACACCCTAATAGCACCATTCGGACGTCGGAGGGTTGAAGGTGGATGTCATCCCGCGATCCATGTACAGGTCTGAGGCCTTGAGCTCTCCGGTCGGTGTGACTTGCTCGGGCGCTGCAGTGAAGCCACCCCACTGCGAGAAGGCGATGGTGCGGCAGCCGGGAGGCATGATCGAGAGAGCCATCTCCGGGCCAAGAAGCTCTCGCAAGAACGCACTGCTGGCGGATGATGCTTTGCGCGCGAGATGGGTGGGTTGTGGGATACCGCGCTCGTCCGTAGACGGTGCTGTGCCTGTCGCAAAAGGGATATACTCTTGCGCAAACATCTTGAGATGCCTTGCTGATGCGAGCAGTTTCGTGGTTGTCAGACTGAAAGATCCGGCTCGCAGCTGATCGCAATCTTTTGGACTGGAGGTCGGTGTTTGGAGTAATTTGGAAGTGAGCTCGGTGGTAAATTTGCAGCATAGGTTGGAAAAGATTTTTCGCCATAAGGGAGTAGGACTACCTGGTGAAGGAGAAACAATGCGGGTGGCTGGTATGGATGGCCCATTGTCTGTTCTATTGTCACCCACGGTATGTGGTCGCCTTCACCTGCCAAGCCGACCAATAAGAGCAGGTCGAGATCAAAGCCATACCGCCGCGTTCACTTTTCAGTGACAGGATTGTCAGTCGCCGTGGGATATTTGGAGACTCGTGGGGAGTTTATAAGAGAAAAGGATGTGTTGTGAGACAGCGATGTGACTGTTTGTCGTATGGGGTGGAAGCAAACCGCCACGCCTGACGAGGCAGTCACTGGCGCCTATCGTTTGCACGCGTCGTCGCTGCACACCACGACGCCGGGCATGGTCTTGAATGTAGAACCGCTTGGGGTGAAAACACGCAACACTGTCAGTCACTGCCCCCACGCCGTGGTTCTCGCATGCTGGTGTCTATGCAGCGTTAGTACGATCCACCCAGGGGTACAAATCTCTTCGTGAATAACTTTAGGGAGCAAGGACCTCTTCGTCGAGTCTACGCGGATAAGGGCCTTTTGCCTACTGGAATTAAGACTGGCAGACGAGTAGGACGCAGCAAGATGGGAGGGGAGGACTAAGGATTCCGCCTGAGTGCCTAGAGTTTAAAGGGCACCTCTAGAATCGAATTCGTTTCTCAAAAAAGAAGAGCGGGGTCTTCCGAGAGTTCTGCGCCCACGAGACGGTGTAGGCATAGTGCGTCATCGGTCACGGGAAATCGCGTCACGCTCGTGCGCTCTTTCCGCGACTAACAAAGGCGCATTTCGCTGCCTGTTCTCGTTGTTTACCCAACCCCGCTTGACACCTAACCTGAAGACTGCGCTCCCCTCTCTACAGGTCTCTTCAGGTTCAACAGTGAAGATGCCTTCCGACGCGTATGTACCTTCACATATCGCCCTACACCTTAGCTGACCGATATACAGAGGCAAAGGCCAGAACTTCCAGACAAGCGACGCCAAGAAGGGCAACAGCAGTAATTCGGGTGGCAAGACGGTTGGCGATAAGACCAAGTTCGAGCCCATGCTCAATTGCTGCCAATTCCTCGAGCTGCCTGCTGTTATGTCCTTCTTTTGCCTATATAGCGCTTTGGTTGGCTAACTATTCGCAGAAATCCGCAATCGCATATACCACTTCGCCGAAGAAGGGGTATATGATGACGACGATGATCTAATACGACCGCTTCTGCTCAAGCGTTCTAAGGTCGCAAGTGACAGCACTAGCGTGCCGCATCTACTGAGCACGCTGCGTTACCGTGCGCTCACTCAAGTCTGCAAGCAAATTCGGACGGAGTATCGGCCTATGTGGCTTCGTCAATCTCGCTTCTGCGTGGAACTCCCAACACCCGCTCATTTCATCAACGCATACTACCCCAAGGTCGCAGATTACCAGAACGCTCCAAGTTTCTGCTAATATCCTGGGACCACGGTCAGCTTGGCGATGAACTCGAGGAAGGTTACGGTGGGGATGAAGAGTCTATGGAGGACGTTCTGACAAACATCACCCTCCTGGCCCGCCTACGCGCACACTGCCCAACCTTTACTGTCAACTTCGCCTCCCGTCAGGTACTCGAAGACGATGTGCCCAACGTAGCGTGCTTCGAATGTGGACATAGCATCCATTGTGGATGCGGCATGGACTGCGATCACGAGGACACTTGGGATGAAGTGCTTTGGCAAATGAGGTGGAGTTATGGGTATCTCGACGCACTGGATGCCTTCCTCGCCAACACCAACGAAAATTGGCTGAAGATGCTTCGCAGTACCACCAACCTACAACCTCGTGTAGAGTTCACTTTTCACGTATACACCCAGCGTCTCACTATCTACATTCGTTTTCTGAAAGGCCAAGCTCCCAAGGGGTTTAAATTGAAGAGCATGTACAACTCTGCTCTTGGCTTCCTCAATCACTGGGGTATGTTGGATCTCAAGGCTAACGATTCGATCGACTATGTCATCGGCGAAGCATCTGGCAAGTTCACGCGCCACGATGGCGAATGTCCTAGCTATGTCAGCACCTACAACCAGATCCACCTCGACAGTTCCACCATCGCTGTCTGGAAGAAAGAGAAGGAGGCCAAGACATCCGCGGCTTGAGTCTTTGTGAGTTGTGCACGACATACATCATTATGGTGCATATCAACCATAATAAATGGTACAACGACCAGATGGCTGGTGTTTTGTTGTATCAGACATGGGAGAAGGAGACGTTCAGATGTACACTGGTTAACCTCATTTAATGCAATGCATGCCGTCTGGCTGATGAATAGATTCATGTCTGGTCTTACAGTATTGCGTGGAGTCTTCCTGGGCCTCGACTCATTTAACGTTCTTATCGTGAACACTAGGTGCAACGTTGGAATACGAGCTCCTTCGTACTCTCCACTGGCAAGTGGCGCCCCGCTCGGCCGCTTGAGCCGGCCGAGCTTTGGCGCGTCCTGCACAACACCGCCGTCTCGCCTTGCAACATGTCTAGACAGTGTGCATGTTGCATAACCACTAAAGCTCATAGTATCAGTATCGTTACGAAAACGCTGAAGATGTCGCAATGATGCCACTGAGCTCAATGAAGCACCCCGTCACGCGAAGACGCGACGATCGCCGTGTACACTAACTCACGAACAGCGTTTGCGTCGATGTTTTCCCGTCTACTACCCCAATGAGCAAACCTCGACAATTCAGAGAACACCAGTTCATCAGATCCCGAATGTCCAACACGCATGATGAGCCGTTAGGGCTCTCAACAACAGACGCTGCGCGTGTTACGGCGTGGCGCGGGGTGGACAGGTCGTTGGCCCTGCGCCTCGGGCCGTTCGGTAGACAGTTTCTAGACAGGCGAAGGCTACTGCGTACTGTGATCTGGCTAAGTCGCGCGCAATATCTCTCGGTCACCAGTTCGCACGAGGCGCAGCGTCGGCATGCTGTCGTGCTCCCATGCTGTCGTGCTCCCATGCATCACAACTCGGGAGCCTATCGCGTGGCTAGCACAGCCGAGCTGAACGCAAACTTGCTGACTACGGACAGTGTGACGCCCAATCAGACCCCATTGGCTGTAACTACATCACCAAAGGACTCTGTATCCCTGCGGAGTCAGCAACTAGGCAGCATTAAATGGCAAGGCTCGGTCGAGGGCTCCCATGGGAGGCCGACGTCCCAAGGCTGACATGTCCTGCGCTGTGTTGCTACCCGTGTATATGTAGCCCAGCTCTTTCCCAGGAATGAGCAGCTGAATCCAAGTCCTTCGGTCTTTCCTCCTCGTTGAAGACCAAACACACGGTCTTGTCACCACCCTACTAATCTTGCATCACGTAGACCACCACGATGGCCTCCGATACATCAGATTCTCTGCCTATTCCTCAGCCTCCCCCACACCTATTCGTAGGCAACTTCGCTGAGATCGATCCGAACGACGCTCCAGGCTCCTTCCAACGACTTGCGGATATCTATGGCGAGATCTACCAACTCCAGTTCCCAGGACGCGACGGCAAAGTCATCGTTGTGTCCTCATACGACACTATCAACGACTGCTGCGACGGTGACCGGTTCGAAAAGCCCATTAATGCTACTCTGGATGAGGTGCGAGCTTTGACCGGAGATGGCCTGTTCACAGCTTATCCCGGTGAAAAGGTACACTTGTCATGTCTACTATGATAGTAGATGTATTAATATATGCACTAGGCTTGGGGTGTCGCTCATCGGCTGTTGATGCCCGTGTTTGGGCCAATGGGTATCCGAAAAATGTTCGACGGCATGATGGACATTTCGACGCAGATGCTGCTCCGGTGGGACCGTTTTGGCCCAGATCATGAGATAGAATGCGCCGATGACTTCACAAGGTGAATATCATCCATCTCTTACCAAACGATGTCATGACTAACTACTTCAAGGCTGACCTTTGATATGATCGGGCTATGCGCGTTTGGCTATAGGTTCAATAACTTCTACAGCAACAGTGCGCATCCTTTCATCAACCAAATGGTGGAGGTTTTGGTAGAGTCTGGCAGACGAGCCACACGCACGTCTATCGAGAACAATCTCCGAGTCTTCGCCGAAGCCCATCGCCAGGATAACGTGAAGAAGATGCACGATCTATGCGACCAGATTATCGCTGATCGAATCGCTCATCCTCAGCCAGACGCCAAAGACCTTCTCAACCCCATGCTTGAGGCAGTAGACAAGGAGACTGGTGAGAAGATGACGAAAGAGTCCGTGCGATACAACATGGTAACCTTCCTGGTTGCTGGCCATGAGACCACAAGCGGGACTCTGGGCTTTCTGTTCTACCACCTACTCAGAAACCCGGACAAGTATCTGAAAGCTCAACAAGAAGTTGACGAAGTCCTCGGAGACGGTCCTTTAGAGCTGAAGCATATTCCAAAGCTTGAATACATCAAGTTCGCAATTTACGAAGCGTTGCGTTTCCTCGGACCCATTGCGATCAATGGAAAGCATGCGCTAAAGCCTACGAAAGTCGCGGTAAGTCCACCTCATGGCTACTATAGTTAGCATCTAACAATTGTAAGGGAAAATACGAAGTGCAGCCGAAGGACATGATCTTGATGAACCTAAAGGGACTGCATCACGACCCTAAAGTGTATGGCGATGACGCGGACGTGTTCCGACCCGAGCGTTTCCTGGACGGTGGTTGGGAGAAGCTTCCACCGAACTCATGGAAGGCGTTTGGTGATGGTATGCGCGCCTGCATTGGCAGGACGTTTGCTGAGCAGGAGATGATCATGGTTGTCGCACTCATCCTACAGAAGTTCCAAGTTGAGCTCGCGGACCCCGGATACCAGCTCCGTACGTGCTTTCATATACTCGAGTGTGACAGCGCTAACCTTGTGTACCAGATGTGTCGGTTACAATTACACAAAAACCAAAGGATCTCAAGATCAAGGTCCGCAGACGTCCTGGACGCACAATGGCTAGCCTGGGTGGGACTGGAGGCGGTGCGACCATTACCAAGGAGGCCAACGACAACGGACCTGGCAAGGCCAAAGAAGCGAATTTACCTACCAGGGATGCGAAGCCGATCACCATACTGTACGGATCGAACGCCGGCACATGCAAATCCTATGCTGAAGACTTGGAGACCAACGCCTCCCGGTTCGGGTTCAAGGCGAACGTCGCCAGTCTCGACTCGGCTACTGAACACATCCCCAAAGACCAGCCAATTGTCATCATCGAGCCCTCGTACGAAGGAAAGCCAGCAGACAACGCGAAGAAATTCGTTGCTTGGCTGGAGAACAATGCGACATCCAAGCTACTTGAAGGAGTTCAGTATGCCGTCTTTGGGGTCGGCAATAGCGACTGGACCCATACGTACCATCGAATTCCCAAACTTACCGACGAATTGCTCGAGAAGATGGGGGCTAAACGCTTCACAGAAACTGGTCTTGTCAATGTGAAAGGAGATATCATGGGTCCGTGGGAGAAGTGGTCCGAGCAGATGTGGAGTGATCTGCGCAAGTCCAGCGGTACCACTACTGAGGTACTTGGGGGACAGCTACAGGCTGAGATCACGCCTCCAAAATTCGCTACATACCTGGGCGGCAAAGACATCGGCTACGGTGTAGTGAAAGCCAACAAAAGCTTAGGTGGCGGCGAGGTTGGCCTTACCAAGAAGCACATGGAGATCGAACTACCACCGGGGACGTCGTATCGCTCCGGCGACTACATCGTCATCCTGCCGATGAACAGCATCTGCAACGTAAGGCGGGTCATGAAGCGCTTCGACCTATCGCCTGATGACAATATCGCCATCACGGGCACCAGCAAGACTTTTATTGCAACCGAAGCTCCAACTTCAATCTTCGATCTGCTCATGACACGTGTGGAGCTAAGCACGCCCATCTCGCAAAAGCAGCTACAGATTCTTGCCGAAGCTTCTCCAGAAAACAAAAGGGCCAAGCTATTGGAGTTAGCAAGCGACGAAATATACAAGAAGGAGGTCATACCCAAGCGCTACAGCATTCTGGATATCCTCGAAGACCACCCTGATTGCAAGCTACCCTTCGCAGTCTATCTCGACTCGCTAAAGCCGCTGTCTCCCCGCCAATACAGTGTCTCGTCTTCGCCCCTCGCGAACGTAGACTTCATCCAAACACCCGAAGGAACTACTGTCCAGCGTTTGATTGCCTCTCTGACCTATGACGTTCATGATGAGGCAGCCTGGAGTGGCGATAATCGCCGCTTCCACGGTGTTGCATCCACGTACCTAGCGCGTCAAGAGCCAGGCGAGAAGATCCGTTGCTTCCCGCGTCCCACGAACATCAACTTCCACCTGCCTACCGACCCGACCGTGCCAATCATCATGGTATGCGCAGGAACAGGTCTCGCTCCAATGCGCGGCTTCATCCAAGAGCGTGCAACCATCAAGAATGCCCGCAACGCCAAGGTCGGACCGGCGATCCTCTACTTTGGCTGCCGTCACTTCGAGAAGGACTTCCTCTACTCTGACGAGCTCAGGCAGTGGGAGGCTGATGGTGTAGTCAGCGTACGCGGTTGTTTCTCCAAAGTCGCCCCCAAGGGACAGAAAGCGCAACGCGTGCCGGACCGCATGTGGGACGAGCGGAAGGAGCTAGCTGAGCTATTTGGGGAAGGTGGCGCGAAGGTCTTCATCTGTGGAAGTGCGAGCAAGTTGGCCAAGAGTACTGCAGAGATGTGTATGAAGATCTATAGGGACACTTTCCCGGGCAAGACGGAAGACGATGCTCTGGAATGGCTGGAGAAGGTCAAGGAGACCAGATATGTGAGTGATGTATTTGAGTAGGGATGTTCCAGCGGCACCCTAGGCTGTTTTCGGCACAGGGATAGCGCATTTCGGTAATGTATCTACGACCTCTTTCTTCTTGCGCACCTAGATAGATCGTGAATGATTACTTTCGCACTACAATCGATTCGTTCTAGAACACAGTGCGAAACCTCTCATCGACCCCATTATAAAAGCGATGAAACAAAATGGCTGACCTTGGTACCTTGGCAGCGGAACAATATGCACAGATGATCGCGGCGGAGAATTACGCAGCCAAGAAAGCACCCACGGATTGAATCAACCCGAGTAGATGCCGTCGTGTGATGCGCCTAACGGCTGTTTTGCGGGGGAAGACGCACCCCGGACGATCACTTAAACTGTAACCAACAGGTACAAGGGCAGAGATGCACCGAATTGGTTGTTGCGTACAACGCACAACATCATGTGTGCAGTAGAGCGGAAGGTTTACGCAAAAGAGGCAGGGACTTAGTGCTGCTTGCAGGTACAATGTTCCGGTCTCGTACAGTGGTGGAAATTTCTCTTGAGTATCCCAGGGTGTAAGTAATCTGTCGAGCTTGGTATTTCCTGGGGATAGCTGAAACTTCGAAACGGGAGTGGCGCGCGGGCCAATGGCCTTGGAATGGCATGGCAGTGTTTGAAGTGCCTGGTATGATAGGTGGTATATTCGAAATCTGGTGTTGCAATTGATCGGCAGGACTACGGCGAAGGCTAGGGATGGGAAACGCGTGTGCCTGACACGGCCAGGTGGTTTACTCATAGTCTTCGCTGTTTTGCATCTTGGTCCGAATTGGTAAGGGTGATCCGATGGAAGTCATATCGAGGGCTTGGTGTCATTTGGGAGGGAGGAGTGCAGGAGTGGAGCAGCGCCATGGCCTTTGGGTTGTATAAGGAGTGCGCATCTCGTCGGTCCAATAGCGGCGTCAACCACATCGCATCTTCTCCTCACTCTTTGCTTCACCTGAGCGATCAATATGGTTCATTTCTCTGGTCTCACTGCGGTGCTGGCGCTTGCCTCCCTTGCGTCCGCTCAATGCGGTTCCGGCACTCCCGACGCAAAAGTCACTGGCTCCGGCAGCTCCTTCACTGCGACCAAGGGCTCGACGAATCTCTACACTGGTTCCGACTACCGTCTAGCTATTCAACGCGCTCTCGATGGCATCAGCAGTGGACAGCGTGTGTCCGTTATCGCATCCGGTAACATCGGCGCTAGCACCATCACCATCACCAGCGGAAAGACGTTTGAAGGCTGCGGAACCATCACTGCTGCCCCCAAGAGCGGAGGAGGGAACATCGAAGTGACCAACCAGTCCGGTGTCAAGATCCCCTACCTCACCATGGCCGGCTCGACGTATTTCGGCATGCGCTTCTCCGGCACCACAGACCTCACCCTAGGCACCATCAACTTCAACCTTAAAGAAGGAATGGGTATCCGTTTCGACCGCGACCGAGCGGCCAACACAAACGTCAAGATGGGCACCATCACCTGCAACGGCGGCACGTCGCACTGCGTTGAGACATGGTAAGAATATGACTGCACAAACTGCATGCAAGACATGCGCTGACTTCATATCTTCAGGAACATCGACAAGCTCGACATCGGCTCGGTAGTCGGCAAGAACGTCGGAGAATGCGGTCTTCTCCTCCAGAAGGTCACCAACGCGAAGGTCGGCACCGTAGACTGCGACAACTGCGGCGCTGGCACTGGATACGCGGCTCTCCGTTTCGCCAACGAAGCCGGAAAGGTCAACGGCGGATACGGCACCAACATCTACGTCAACCGCGTCAAGGCTCGTGGCGGCGGTCGCGGCATCTTCTGTGTATCTGCTTCTGGAGGCGCAGAGATCGGTATGATCGATGTCGCCAACACGGGTAACAACGCCATCTTACTCGAGAACTGCTACAATGTCAACATCAAGGCTGGTACTGTTAGCGGTGGTGGTGAGGTTCGTCTCGCGGCCAGGACCGAGTTTGCAAACAGCAGGGATATTGCCATTGCGCTGAAGGTCGACGGAACCAGTGTGACGGAGAACCCGTGCACTGTCAATAAGACCAAATGGAGCCTCACCGGAAACGGGGCGAGGAAGATCTGCACATAGGTCCTTCGCTGTTTCCTCATTAGGAGCATCTCGCGGTGCTGACTGCCGAATCTGGGCGACGTGTAGTAGCAACTTCATTGTATATATTACCAATCTCGAGTACATACAAGTCATTATCCTTAAAGACTTTCGAGCAGGCGACATGGTTTGTGATCCGAGCAACTATGGTCACGATACTGAAATGAAATTGATGCGAAAGCCGGGTCGATGGCCGAAGTGGAACCTGATTTTGCATGACACAAATAGGCACATAGGCAGCGCAACGCGTCAAGTGCAATGTAGGTTGTGCATCAGCTACCACTCGAAGGTCATACGCGCCAAGAACAGGCGAACAAATTCGTTGGGGCGAAGGCTTACGTGTGACCGAGATTACTGCTACCATATTAACCAACCGGTGTCAACTTTGAGTACCACAAGGGTGAGCGGAATAGTGCACCTCGCTTACTGCCCAAGCTTTATTTCCAATGGTCTTCACCGCGCAGATTGTAGTTGCAACTAAAAGGTGTTGTGTTGGCCCCAAGCGCCTCGCGAGCGGTCGTAAGCCGAGTGCGCGAAAGGGGTGTGTTGCTGAATACTAAAATCAGCCCGAGTCGCGTCTCCTCGATTGTCCAGCTCTTCATTTAGTCCATCATTTCGTGATGTCGCGCAGAATCTTCTCTTTCATATTCCTGTTGCAACTCGCTTGCTTGCAGCCTGTAATGGCAGCCTGCTACTGGCGCAACGGCACACAAAACACAGACATTGCGTACTCGACACAAATTAACAACACCTCCGATCCGCTGAGCAACATTTGCTGTGCTCGTTGGGATAACTTACTGAGGAACGGGCTGTGTCAGAATAGGGGTGACGGGGCCATCTGGCGAGAGTCGTGTACGAAAAGCAATTGGGGGGAAGGAGGATGCCAGGAGCTCTGTTCGGACGAGGTACAATCCACGCAGAATTCTTTGTAGGCCATCAAAACTGACGACGATTAGGATTCTTTACAAAGGAGCAAGGATACCAAGGTGACACCTTGCACTGGTGACGTTGATTCGTTAACCTGGTGTTGCGGTAATACTACTCAGTGCTGCACGGACGGAAGCACAACACCGCGATACACCATAGCAGCGCGATTTGGCGACCCTATACCCACTGTGACGTCTTCATTAGTATCTTCTTCGACCGCATCTTCGGTCGCGTCCTCCGTGGTATCTTCTTCTCCGTCGAGTACGCCAATAGCCACTGGTGACAGTGAGCTCTCTACAGGTGCAAAAGCTGGTATCGGTGTTGGGGCTTCGATCGGAGCCATCGCCTTGATCGGATTAGGCATATTCATCGCTAGAGCGCTGCGCTGGCGCAAGAAGGCGCGGGATGCCCCTACGCCCTATGTTGCACCTGAAGAACAGCCATCAAAAGAGATTTATCGATATGAGAAGGGTGGCAGCGAGACTGCACAACTGGCCACTGCGGAGAGTCAATTGCATGAAATGCCGGGTTCCGGAGGAGCTTCCGAGCTCGATCAGGTCCGAGACAGTAGAGTAGTCAGCCGTGGTGCCTCGGCGGTTTGATGTATGGCGGATGCGCGTCGTTTGATGATATTGTGGATGGCGGAGTGTGTGGGCTGCGACTACGAAGGCTGAAGGCAGGCTCCAGGGCTTCGGGGGGCCACGCTAAAACGCTAGCTCAGGCGCTCAAAGAAGGGGCGGCTCAATCACATTGTAACTTGCACCATCTGCACCACCTTCGTCTTCTCTCTTGCTAGCACTGGCGGTATCCCGTATCGCACAGGATGGCATATCGTATAGCCCTTGAGAACCTCGCTTTTCCATCGTCCATGATCAAGCCGACCAAGTGTAGCGATGACGTCATACGCTGTCGCAATCGGGTTTCCACCGCAGCCGCCAACATGCAAGGAGATCCTCTCTTCTTGAAGCGCAGTATCTTCAATGGGGTGTGTAATTCCAACTTATGATCTCGTCCACATGATTACAACTCCACGGTGGACGGTCATGGCTGCGTGTTGCCCCCAGCAGGCCTGGGTCGGTAGCCGTGAGGGAGGCAGTAGACCCATCACCAAATAAAATTCGGAACAGAGGTATTGGCAACGTGCGGTGGCATACTCTAATTCTGCTCCAGATTGGCCGGTTGAGCACTTCAGCAGCTTCTACTGCATCTCTCTGGATGTATGATGACATGCATGCTGCTGGCAGTGGACGCCACTCGTAGGCCCGCCACACAGGACGGCCGAATGACCATGCATACTTTCACGTTGTACGACGTACTTTCATCGATCATGTATGCAGGTCGAGACTTGGGTTACTAATCCTGAAAGGCTGGTTATACTGATAAAAAGAGTATGGGCCCTATCTTTTGAAGGTATCTTCCTGGAATACGAAACACCTCATTATCGATGACGGAAACGACAAAGGCGACAGAGATAAACCCGATTGGCCTGAGATGCGACATTATGAGGGCTGAGAATAACGTTGCGCAACAAGCAACCGAGGAGCAGAGAGCCAAGGGCACGCAGGATTCTGGGGGAGGGGCACTAGATATATGAACACAACTCGAACGTGCGCTCTCACTAACGAGTAACAGCGATACATCAACGCCTCGTCTTCTGTGAACTTTTCCTTCCTCATGCAATGTTCATGGGAAGCATCTGCGCTCACTTTTCAGTTCGCACTGAGCAATGGCGGCCCAGCGTCCATTGTCTATGGTAGCATATTCGCATGGACAGGAACCATGCTAGTAGCCTTGTCGCTTGCCGAAATGTCTTCTATGGATCCTACAGTTGGTGCTCAATACCGGTGGTCTGCCGCTTCGCGCCAATATGGAATCGCTTCTTCGGTTTGATGCAAGGCTGGATCACCGTCTTCGCTTGGATCTGTTGCTGCACTTCGAATGCAGCGCTAATATCCAATATCGTCGCCGCTATGGCCACCTTCAATAGCCCAGAGTACGTGGTTCAGCGGTGGCACACAACACTCATCATGTGTGCTTCGACAATAGTTCCGTTCATTGGAAACCTTTGGCTTCCTAAAATTATCAACGCCCTCGAGACAGCGGGCGCAATATCCCATGTTGCCTTCTTCTTTGCTAGTATCATTACCTTGGCTGTAATGGCAGAAAAGAGTTCCATGGAATATGTGTTTCAGACCTTGACCCACGACATTAGTGGTTGGAGAAACCCCACAGTGGCCTGGGGTATAGGGCTGATCACTGCTGTATACCCGCTGGCTGGTAATTCTCGATAGAGTTCTGGCTCGACACAGCTGTACTGATGAGTTCAGGTTTCGATAGCGTCATCCACATGTCCGACGAAGTCAAGCAAGCACATACCCGGGTGCCGCGCTCTATCATATTCTCGGTCGCAATGAACGGTCTCATGCAACTTCTTTATATGATCACCATTCTCTTTACGATTGGAGACGTGCATTGCGCTTCCGCTTCGCCACTACCAATCATCGAAGTCTATTATCAGGCCACGGGATCTAAAGCAGCCACAAACTTGTTCATGTTCATGCTGGTCTACATAATCTTTGTATCATTCTTCAACATATTTGCCTCGGTTTCTCGACTCATTTGGGCGTTCTCCAAGGACGAGGGGTTACCGTTCTCGCGTACCTTTGCCAGGGTCCACCCTGAGCTGAGGGTACCGGTCAATGCATTGTGTCTCAGCGGCCTCTGCGTTTGTATCCTGGCTCTTATCAACGTTGCTTCGAGTACCGCGTTCAACGCTCTTATCTCCCTTCCCGCAATGGGCTTGTACCTATCGTACTTTCTGCCCATCTTGTTCCTTTTCTGGCGTCGGACGATAAGCGCGAGGCCTCTACCAATTCCATGGGGTCCGTTCAAGCTGGGCGCAGGTGGCGCATACATCAACGCTGGAGCTTTGTGCTACATCGTCTTCACCTTTGTTTGGATGCCACTGCCCACTATCCTCCCTGTGGACAGGTTCAACATGAACTATGCGGGACCGATTCTAGGTGCGATCATATTAGGCGCTGCTGTGGATTGGTCATGGAAGGGAAGAAAGAGGTTTCAAGTGCCAGTTGCGAATCGAGGACTTCAGTGAATGGGCTGGGGACCCTCTTGCAAAGGACAATCCACTCTTCTTACACGCACTTGATGCGATAGCTTAAGGCACCGCAATCCACCTCAGAGTCTATTTCACCAAGACGGGCCCGCGTGGTATACTGCCTTTTTTTTATCTTTCCCGGCTTTCACCTAATCGATTTCTACGCCTTGAGTACTTATATCATTCGTTTCTCTTCTCTCAAGGCTGCATCGATCTACCCAACCGCATTTCACACTTATTCGCGACCACGATGGCTCAATTTAATCAACCCCCGACCGAGCCTGCTAAAGCGCGCGTGGAAGAACTCGGAGACATCTCGCCTCCAAGTGTCCAATCCATGTCTCTGCCGCGCCCACCCCCGAATCCAGTGCCAGACCTCATGGATCTTGTCATCAATCGAGAGTCGCGCTACACAACGCACTCACTCATCACATCTTACCTGGGTATTGATGATATACGCAATGTTCAGTTAGCCTGCAGAAAGACGTCGGACCTGTACGCAAACATGAAGAAGACTCAGTGGAACGTCAACACAAGCCTGCAGCCATTCTTCAAGTACACTCAGACGTTTCGCTCTATACAGGCCCAGACCGAGACTCTGATCGGGAGCAAGTTCGCCAGAATGTTCTTCCGTCGTCTGCAGGTCAAGAATGAACTTCAGCTCTTTACGCAAGCTGGGGAGAAGGTGGAAGCTCTCATTAGCTATCTCGAACAGGATGGCTATGTTTTGGATAGTGAGGTCGTGGGTGGAAGCGTAGAATTTGGCAGCTCAAAGGTGGGCCTGCGTTGCTTTACATCATTTTCCATACGTACCTGACTAACTACTGGTAGTTCTCTTGCTTCAAGAAGACATCGACTAGTGACGGCGGCGAAACTTCAGTCACTCTCTTTCACTGTATCCATTCTCCCATCGACGCAATTCTCATAGGCTGCGCGTGCTCCGCTCGAGTATGCTTCATCTCTTGGAATAAGGCGTATTGCCTATTCCCATCCGCGACCATCCTCAAGCGAACGTCTTACCGAATGACTCCTTTAATACAGACGGACTATCCACGCACGATCGCCGCGATAAAGTGCGACTCTGAAGAAGGACTGATCGTCAAGACTGGCGAGTGGATGATCAAGAATGATAAGACACATCCAGAGTTTGTCTTCGCACGGTCCGTTAGCGACAAGCTCTCGTGGGTAATCAAGCTCGATATCACCCATGTCTCCCCTGCTACAACCCCAGATTCGCTGCTCGATGATGCCCGGTTCTCCGTGGAAACTACCAGCCAGTCTAGCATAGTATCTTACCTCCAGCTCAGATATGATGTACTCGCATCCTGCGCCCTGCAACATACGTACATCTGCCTTTCACGCTACCACTTTGAGCCCGCCGTGGAGTGGGGCGAAAGGAGGCGACGTCAGTATGAGGCACAGATAAGGCAACTTGAACAGGTACTGCACGCCGAGACATCCATGCAGCTCACCATGCTTGACCCAGACGACCGGCCTCCTCAATATGCCACAATCGTCAGTCGGAGAGGAAAAGACCATACGGCTAAGGGCCACTTCAAGACACCTGCGAACTGGAATTACTTCGACGCAGAGATCCAGGCTGAACTTCGGAGGATAACTGAGCAGTTGCTCGCTACTGGCCCACCGAAATAGAACAGCCTCATACAAGAGGGATTTGAACAGATCTGCAGACGATATGAGGGTGAAATGCGAAGGGTAGAGGACCTAGCGCCCACGTGGACTTCACGGTGTTCGGCTTTTGCCCTTTACGAATGTCGTATCAGAATGTCATCAATATAATACATCATTGCTTGCTTGCACTCTTGTGACTTGAGACACACCTGCTAGCTCTCACATCCTTTTTCATCTCCTAGAATGAACGCTAATCCATCTATCTAATCGACGAATCAGTTCGACTTCATCTCGACCCATAGACCCGCTTCATGGTTATGACGCACAATAGCTATACCCACAGATCTCATCAGCTTTCGCTTCCTCACCTTCCAGAACTACCTTCTTGCGACGCGATGTCATCTCTACCACCTCGCGAAACGATGACCTAGGTTCGCCTGAGCAATACGTTCACTCCACTGATCCGAATCCTGCCAAACGCCGTTTTCTGCAAGCCAGACAGCTCGGCAAAGAGGACATGTCCTCTCGTCATCAGGCCGTTGTTTCAGGAATTCTTTGAGACAGTCTCGACCTATCATGTGTTCGCAGCCTTGGATTCCCTTGATCTTGACACAAGGATGAGCCGCAGCGTTCTCCATGCAGACTGGGCAGTCGGTGTTTGTCGTGCTAGTCGTGTTGGCGGCGGTGAGCGGCTCGGTGTTGCGTGCGACGAAGTTGTTGATACACTGCTCGCTGCTTTCAGTTGGTTGGTAGTCTGCTGGGAGTGGATGAGGCTCGAATTCGACTGGGAAACCGCCTCGTGTAGGGACTGGAACGTACCCAGGTCGACGTGATGGGGTGGGGTGAGCATGAAAAGGCAGGTCTTCGCCTCGTCCAAAGCCTCCAATATGGACATGAGTGCTACTGGTAGGTCCAAATGGAAAGTGTTCGCCGAAACAGCTCATAGTCCTATGGACTCCAGGTCCTACTCCAGGTGTATGAGCTCCCGATCCATGAGCGACGCCGTTTCCAGAGAAGATGGGATGGCTGAAGGCACCCTCGAGTGCATCATCGAATGCAGTACCCATACCGATATGAAGGGCGTCGAACCCCGGAATACCGCCTGTGTCGTTAAAAGGGAATCCTGGACCAAAGGCACTTCGCGTGCTTTCACCTTGTGGCCCAGAGCCGAGCATACTGTCCAGTTCCGCCATGGTGTCGGCTAGACCATGCATAGCATCGTGATACCCGTGGGAACTGGAGTGTCCGATATCAGTATCGTATTCATCGTCATCGTCATCATCCTCCTCGATGAACATAATGTGAGAAGGTTGACGAGAGCGTTGGGGAACATACGCTGTAGCTTGACTGCGAGTTTGATGCGGATGGCCGCCGTCGCCACCACCACCACCGAGACGATGTCCTCGTGTGCTGAAATGCTGACCCGCACGATTGCCGGAGCTCGATCTATGATTTCCACGACCGGAATAACTCATTCTCAATAGTACGTGTCGGAGGTTTCGTTCTGTGAGGTTCAGTGATTAATTGGTTGTGACTGAGAGAAACGCGCAGTGATGTGGTGAGTGTGGGACGTGAGTCAGGCGCGACCTTTATGTACGCAAGGTCTGTGCGGCCGAGTGAATGGGAGGTGAACCTAATGTGAGTAGATTCTAGAAGCGTTATGTATTGACATTGCTCTGGGCCAGGTGAAAGCTGTGGGAGCATGCCAGTGCACCGGAATGACGAAGATGAACGGATGAGGTTGTGAAGACTAGATAGATGTCTCACAATGAGTTCATGGTATGTTTCTTCTACTTCTTCCCCTTCTTCTTCGTATCGCTCTCTTTGCCATCTTTTGCGAAGCCACCCAAGACCAATGCCTCTCTAGTCGCAGTGTTGATGATGCGAAAGCGATCAGGACCTAAGTGTATACCACCATACCATCTTGTGACAACCACCATGACGTTCCAAACATCCATCAACTGCATTAAGTGCAGCATCCGCGATCCCGCAGCAGTCTCACCATCATCGTCGCAGTCTTGGTAGCTCGTATCGCTTGGACCTTTGATTCGCCAAGCAGTCATGTTGTGAGTCGCGCGCGCAGCCTTTTTTTCTGTCGCTAGGAGATGCGCAACATACTTTCTAGCCTGTGTTGGTGACGATACAGGTGCTGCGCGGGCTAGAAATACTGATTTCTTCTCGGTGAGGACGGGTGCTACAATCCAAGGTGGCTCCGGTCCAAGGTCGATGGCCGGGTCGGACTGGATATGAGAGTTCTCGTCTTTTTCAACGTGCTCATCCTCGTGTTGATCGTGTAGTTGAATGTCTCCTTGCTCTTCCGCTTGCTCCAAAGCCTCTCTTGCCTCTTCGAGCAGATCGTAGATACATGCCTCTCCGGGTTGGTAGATCCTTGCCAGAACTTCTCTCACTACATCGACAGCCTGGCTGCCCATACCCTTGGGGACATCTTGTCCCACACTCTGAGTGCCTAGCACGGATGGCGGCGCATCCGGATAGTCTGCCGGAAATTCTATACGCAGAGTTATCGATGGCAGCGACGGCAGACGTAGACTGTATAGACGTTGGTCTTCATCTAAGGCTGACAGGGTACCTTCGTCGAAGATGGCGTTGAGCGAGGTGACCTCATCTTGGATGGCGTCGTTGGCGGACATATTTGTGATTGCCTTGGCCGATGGCGGGGTGAACGATGCGGAAGGCGCGCTAGCTTAGCGTCGTTCGCGTTCGCAATCTTGGAAACATCAACACCCTCGCGACACCCATGTCGACCTCCTTCCCCACCACGAACTCATAGCCGCAACCTCACATTGCCAAACATGGCGCCAAATGATGATGCCAAGCGCAAGTCAGGTCTAACGATTGCGCAGGTGAAGTTCAAGCAGGCAATGAAGGATCCCGATGCCGAAGATCGTTCAGCGCCCATTGCAGTCGAAATTAGCTCGCAGCTTTTCAACCACGTTGATGCCGTTCTTCAGCAGAACTCGCCCATCAATATCCAGGTATCTAGCTATAAAACCGTCAATCACATATCACCGGGAGCAGACTAATTCGCCGCTCGTAGAAATGCACAGAATGGATCGTGAAGCACGTAGCTCCCTCCAAGGCTCGGATCACCACCCTCGGCGCGTATCTCATCGCTGTTTCAAAGTCTGTCGTAGTAGATCAGAGCACTCCAGCGCTAGCGAAGAAAGCAGCGCGCAACCGGATGGATCTCTTGTTGATCGTCAACGATGCCCTCCATGCTGACAAGTTCCATCATCGCGACACGACGAAGCAGAGTATTCTTGGCAACGCGTGTCAAGATTTTGTCCCTGACTTGATCGAACTCGCAGCGGCGTGTATCACCGAGAAGGGATCGCAGCTAGAGGTGAAGCTGAAAGCCATTGTCAACTACTGGGCTGTTAACAAGCTCTTGAGCTCAGAGGGTCTGAAAGCTTGTCGACACAAGGCAGACGAGGCCTTGTCCGTAGCACAGGGTCGCAAGCGCAACTACGTCCTTCCAGAATACCACGGCGACCGAAATGCCAGATGGCACGACCTCCCCGCATCGTACATGCTCGAGCCCATAATCAAACACCCGAGCCGCCCGATCCACGAATCTCAGATCAAGATACGGAAGTTTGACAAGAAGCCTGTCAGTTCACACGTTCGCGCTCTCCTCGACAACTTCTTCGAAAACATCGACCTCAAGTACCTGCCCACGGGCGATAATCCGACCGGGGAAACAACCAAGTATAGGCTTTCGTTGGATCCCATGGGCCAGCTGGTCAAGCAGGACAAGGAGACTGGCGAGACAGCTACAGTGGCAAACGGCTACGGCTGGTCGCCAAAGTTCTGTCGAGATATACAGAAATTCACCGTCCCGGAGACCATCAAGATCGCGCGAGAGGACATAGAACGCATGGAGGACATGGAGGACCCCCCGGTCTTGTCTGTCGTGCGTCGCGTTGGCCACGATAGTCGACCCTCTACTTCCTCGTCGACAGAGTCGGGCCCACCCTATAGGGAGCGAAGAAGGGGATACAATCGTAGCCGCAGTCGCAGTCGCAGTCGCCGTAGCCCCGGGGGTTATCAGTATGACGACGCACGCCGTCGAATGTCACCCGACGGATCCATGGGTCGCCGCAGGGTCTCACCACATGGACCTTCGCGTCGAGAGTCTGAGGGCAGAGGTTTCGTCGAGGCGCGACCGTCATCAAGGGCATACGACAGAGAAGGATCACAGCCTGGATCGCAGTGGAGTGGTGCGAACAGGAACACTCAGTCCAGCCCCAACAACCATCAGCATCAGGTCCCGCCCATGCTGCATCAGCCGCCTTTCAACGCGCCGCCGTTTCCACCACCGCACATGTCAGGCCAGTTCCAAGGCCAGTTCCCGATGCCAATGCCGCCATTCGGTGTTCCTCCCCCTCCACCACCGCAGTTCCAAGGACGTGGTGGCTTCGTTCCCCCTCCCCCGCCCCCCAACTTCAACGGCATGTGGCAACCTCCTCCTCCCAACATGAACATGCCACCGAACGGTCCGCAACAAGGCAACCAGGGTGGCAACCAATTTGGTAACCATCACGGAGGCCAGGGTGGAAACCGAGGCGGCAACCAATTTGGAAATCAGGGCGGCAACCAGTATGGTAACAACTTCGGTCCTGGCAACAATGGTCAGTATGGTCAGAGCCGTGGCGGATACCAAGGTGGACGTGGTTATGGAGGTGGGCAGCGCGGTGGCAATAACGGCAACAGGGGAGGCTGGAGGGGTAACGGACGAGGCGGGCGATACTGAGATGAGGTATGAACGCTTGCGACCAAATGGCGCATGCAGACATGCGTTCAGGATCGATGCGCAAAACTGTAGGATATCCAACACATGCCGGTATTCCTTGGAAGAAGCATGTACATTCTTACGAAAGACTTTAGAGCCCTTCTCTGGGTGACTTGATCATCTTATAGCTTGCCTAATCTACTCATTGTATACTTGGCCGTATGTTTTCATGTCTTGACGCGAGTGACTCTGACATTGGCGTGATTCG